CTCAAGGCCCGGGGGCCGGATTTGGCCCGGGGGGGGCGTTGACATAGATCACCGACAAAAGGGCGAATGACAAAAGTACGCCCGACTAAACCGCGGTGACAAAACCGCGAGTTCTAAAGCGCGGCGACGAATGAGTGCTGAACCGCGGCAACAACAGCGCGGCGACAGTAGTGCACTGTAAACCTAACCCTAAACCTAACCCTAAACTTAACCCTAAACCTAACCCTAAACCTAATCCTAAACCTAACCCTTACCTTAACTTAAATCGCGCTTCTGTCGGCGCGCTGTTGTTGCCGCGTTGATGACGTCCCGTTGATGACGTCACGGTTTTAGCACCGCGGTTTTGTTGCCATGCTTTTGTCGTGCACGCATTTGTTGGGTCACGCTTAGATATGGCCCACAGGGCCACACTATCAATAGCGAAGAGCCGTCCTGTGTTGCTTCTGCCTGCAAAAACGGGCTCCTGAGCTCCGTTTTTAGCTGCCAGGGCCTCCTTCAAGCCTCTGCCAGTGAAAATGGTGCCCGGGAGCCCGTTTTCTCTGGCACGAGTGCTCAGTCCAGCACAGGTGCCCCCAACAGGAGTGATGTCAAGCCGGCCACATCCACCCTTGCCATGCCCACCCCATAACGTCAAGCCTAATCCTCATGAGGCCCTCATTGAAATCGAGTTTGACACCCCTGATCTCTAACAAGTCAATCCGTTTGAGAAATTGCATCAACTCCCAAGTATAATCATCTGACTCGACAGGAGAAGCCTATCATTAGGATGACAGGATCACCTCGGGCTACATATAATAATATAATTGCAAACATTAATCCTGAGCAAGTCTTAAGAGTCACCTGCCAGCTGTGAATTGAATGGAGAAGGACGCCGCTCCTTTGTGGGAAATTTTAAAAAAATTCCTGGGACAACAATGTCCCTTGAACCTTGGGGTAAAACCGAGGTAACCCAGGCCTCGGTGTAGTATGAAACACACCCTCTGTTTTGGGCAGTTGGGATTTCTCCAGCTGCCTGGATAAAAACTCTTAAAATCTTTAAGCAGAGTTTGGTCAGTCAATCAATCAGAATCAACCAATCAATTAAAACTTTTTCCCCCCATCATAGATCAGCAAATAAAACCTTTACTTAAGGCAAGAGGGGGGGGGGAAACATAGTTATGCTAAACTATCTCAAATGGGTTAGAATTAATACAGGTAGTCCTGCGGTCAAGGAAATAAAATCAGGTTGATCCGATAATATTTGGCGATTAAAACAAATCAGAATGAGTAGGGTTTTTAGTGCAGACTGGAAATTATAATTCCTGGTGACACACGATGACAATTGTCTGGACATGGAACCAGGAACAAGAGCCAGTTCGAAGCCCTTCAAGTTTATTACATGTTACGTCTACTACAAGAATCTGACCCACAGATGATTAAGGCAAATAATTTTGGGAGCGTCATGATTCCAAAGGGACGTGATGGCTTGGTGGCTAAGACGCTGAGCTTGTTGATCAGAAAGGTCGGCAGTTCGGCGGTTCAAATCCCTAGTCCTGCGTAATGGAATGAGCTCCCATTTCTTGTCCCAGCTTCTGCCAACCTTGCAGTTCGAAAGCATGTAAAGAATGCAAGTAGAAAAATAGGAACCACCTTTGGTGGGAAGGGAACAGCGTTCCGTGCGCCTTTGGCGTTTAGTCCTGCCGGCCACATGACAACGGAGACGTCTTCGGACAGCGCTGGCTCTTCGGCTTTGTAATGGAGTTGAGCCCCGCCCTCTAGAGTCGGGAACGACTAGCACATATGTGCGAGGGGAACCTTTACCTAATGACTAAATGATTCCAAACCGATGGTACATTTGACCCCGCCTTCATCTACAGCCATAGAGAATAAAATGTTCCATCAATTATTCCTTCACCGCACAACCCAATCTCTCTCCAAAGGGGATTTCTTTTTCCCTTGAAGTAGAGACGTCAGTTGATGAAATGTGAGTCCTTGTGAGCCCCACAATGTTGTAAAGACACACTTTACAACATTGTGGGGCATTCTGTACACCTTTTTGCAACTTCCTGTCTATTACTTCTGTCTGCTACATGAAATAGGTAAGCCGCCATGCCGAAATGTTATTTTAGGGAAGGGTGAAAAACAATTTCTTCTTGTTTTACTCCAGTCCCTCTGCAAACTGCTGCTTAAAGTCCACACCCAAAGAACCAGAAGAAATAATTACTGCTTCTGCATATTTAAAGGGCAGTTTCATTTTCCAGTTGCTTCAATGCCCCACCTGGGCTTATTATTCTTGAAACGCAGTTTCAGTCTTTCTGGGGGGAAGAGGTGGCTTGACTTACAAGCCATCTGTAACTCGAGAACGTAACATCAGGCTGATGAAACTAGCATGAAGTACAACAGGAATTGGAACCCCCACCTTTTCGAGCTGTTAGCTTCTCTGTTTTGCTTCTCTGTCTGGCTAGGGTACCCCGAGGGAGGGTCCCTGGCCGCCCTGAGAATGTTGAACTGTGTACATTAGACCAGTGTTTCTCAACCTTGGCAACTTGAAGATGTCCGGACTTCAACTCCCAGAATTCCCCAGCCAGCATTCGCTGGCTGGGGAATTCTGGGAGTTGAAGTCCGGACATCTTCAAGTTGCCAAGGTTGAGAAACCTTGCATTAGACGCCCCCAAGTTGAATTCTCACAAGCCAAATCCGAGTTTTTCTACCTTCTCTCCTTTTCTTGGAAAAGAATTGGGGGTTTTGAACTCTTGGTAGGCGTGAAACTTGAGATCAAATGGATATTGAGACCTCCTCCAATACTAGAAGGTAGTCCTTGACTTACAGCCATTTGTTTAGCGACGATGCCAAGTTGCAACAGCATTGGGGGAAACCTTGACCAACCGTGAGTGGTCCTCGCACTTGGAACTGGCGCAGTAGCTGCCCAGTCACGTGATCAGGATTCAGGTGCTTGGCAATGGTAGTAGCAAGTCAGTGGGGAAGCTGGTTTCGCTTAACGACTGCACAATCCCCTTAACGACTGCGCTGATTTGCTTAACAATGAAAAAGATGATAAAATCGGATGTGACTCACTTAACAACCACAAATGGAAATTCTGGTCCCAATGGTCTTCGTAAGTTGAGGGCTACTTGTATTGTTGAGGACTACGTGTATATGAGCCATGGTGGCACAGTGGTTAGAGTGCAGTACTGCAGGCGACTTCTGCTGACTGCCGGCTGCCTGCAATTTGGCAGTTCAAATCTCACCAGGCTCAAGGTTGACTCAGCCTTCTGTCCTTCTGAGGTGGGTAAAATGAGGAGCCAGATTGTTGGGGGCAATATGCTGACTCTGTAAACCGCTTAGAGAGGGCTGTGAAGCACTGTGAAGCGGTATATAAGTCTAAGTGGTATTGCTATTTAGGCTGACGAGCTAAATAACTCTTGGATATGAAGGACAAACTCCATATTGGGCAGCTTCTCCCTATATAACAGGGCTCTCCAACCCTGGCAATTTTATGACTTGTGGACTTCAACTCCCAGAATTCCTCAGCCGGGTGTGCTATGCTGGCTGTGGAATTCTGGGAGTTGAAGTCCACAAGTCATAAAGTTGCCAGGGTTGGAGAGCCCTGTTGTATTTTCCCCGAATGCAGAGAACATTATCGTGGACCCACGCCAACGACACAAGCATGCGTCATTCCATCTCGTAGGTTTTTGATCAAATGTTCCTCCTGAAGACTTTTCTCCCCATGTTCCCTGGCCTTCTTCAACCTGTAACTCTCCTATATTTGCTCCAGATGGGCCTGATGCCCCAGTCATCAGCCCTAGTGGGCAGTTTTATGCAGAAGGCTCCAATCTCACCCTCTCCTGTCAAGCTGACTCCAACCCACCCGCCAAGTATACATGGTCCTTCAAGAAGTCTACCCATTCAGGGGGGATCTATCAGCTCTTTCGCTTGTCTTCCGCCAACAATGGGACCTATACATGTGAGGCCTCCAACAACGAGACCAAACTCTCCCAGTCTAAAATCCAGCCTGTCTGTGTCCTGGGTGAGTATATTCATGGTTGTATGGACTTCTGGTCTCCATAAATCACGTCTCTTAACTGAGTTGAATCTTTCTGGGGCGAGTTAATTTATATATTTGAACCGACTCGCCTCCAGAAGTTGTGGGTGCTCCATCACTGGAGATTGATGGAGATTTGACAGCCATTTGCCCAGAGTGGCACAGGGTCTTCTGCCTGAACAGGGGGTTGGACTAGAAGACCTCCAAGGTTCCCTTCCCACTCTGTTGTTCTGCATTCTGTATTTCCTATCTCTGTGGGACTTGTCTGGAATCATCCAGATCCAGTCCCAATTATCTCTTTTTCACATTCCGTTCTATTTATTGTATATGTTTGGGTATTCTTGTCTCCTCGACAGCTCCTTCTCAATCTACGACTCTATTGAATGTGTTGACAGGGGTTGTGTCCCCAAGTGACCCCGCGTGACTGGGTTTGGATTTAAACCATCTGCCCTATGATGAAATCTTCAAAAGTCAACATTGGAACCTCAGTTTTCATTGGAGTTCCCCCCCCCCCATGAAATCTCATTGTTTTAGCCAACTCCTTGAATGGTTTCTGTTTGTGACTGTTCTTCCTAAGATACATTCTTGTGCCTTGTAACTGGTTTTCAGTTTTGATGCAACTGTTCTACTGTTTCCTTCAAAGGTTTGGAGTTTGCCGCCTTCTGCTGTTGTTCTTTCTTAAGATGTTAGTTGTGAAATTTGTGCGACGAGTATTAGAAATCCCTTTGCCTCCTGTCTCTTCAAACTTCTCCGATATTGTTGCATTTCTTCATTCTGCCTAGTATGTAGTGCTATATGAAATTATGAATTAGAACTTAGGTCGGTCCAAGTAGCTATTCAGAAACTCTGGCATTGAAGCATGCAAGTCTTAAAGCTGTCAAGTTACAAGATCCTTGCACCCCTAACCCTTTAGGAAAAAAAAACTAGAGGTCTTCAAAGCTAACAGCTTTAAGACTTGTGGACTTCAACTCCCAGAATTCCTCCTCCAGTCACGTTGGCTCAGGAACTCTGGCATTGAAGCATGCAAGTCTTAAAGCTGTCAAGTTACAAGATCCTTGCACCCCTAACCCTTTAGCAGTGGTGGGTTTCAAAAAATTTTGGAACCTCTTCTGTAGGTGTGGCCTGCTTTCCGGGTCCACTGGTGGAACCTCTTCTAACCGGTCCGGTAGATTTGACGAACCAGTTCTACCGAATAGGTGCGAACTGGTAGGAACCCACCTCTGATCTGTACGTCCTTGAAAAATCTCAAAGAGTAGAACTCGATTCTGGTTTCCACCAGCCTCTGGGAGGTTTTCACCAGAAGAGGAGAGCTTGGTGCTTTCTATTGTCCCTGGTGATCTTATAACGTGCCTTCTAGGACTTTGTACCATTGTGAGATTACTTCTTGGCAAGAGAAGCTAAACAGCAAATTAAACCGAAGGGAAGACGCTAATGAGAACGATGGTATCTAAAGATGATTCCTCCAAGGGTTTGGATGCTCTTTTATTTTAATTTCCTGGCATCTGTAAATGCTTTCTTGGTTTTGAAGCTGATCTGATCCACCCTTTCAACTGTGTCTCACCCCAGATCGTCCCTCGTAAAATGGTTACGAAGGAGTTGTTTTTCCCCAGTATCATAATTTCAACACCTGGACATACATACAGTGGGATTCGGCCGCTTCACACCGGTTCGGGCAAACTGGTTGTTGAAATTCTGTCCAGTTCAGCAAACCGTCCAATCCCATCACTGGCTGGCCCCGCCCGTAACCATTTTTCAGCTGTTTTTCGACCCTGAAAATGGCTGAAAAATGGCCCCAGAAACAGGCAGGTGTGGGGCCAGCCAGTGGTGGGATAAGTCCAAACCGGTCACAATTGTTGAATCCCACTTCTGCCTTCGAGGCAGGAGGTAGGGCTGGGTGTGATGAGTGACGTTGAGTTGGCCACACCCAGCCAGTCACATGACCACTTACCAATGCCTACCCCGCCAGAGAACCGCTTGTTAAATTATTTAAATCCCACCACTCATACCAGGAAAATAAGGCATCCTGAATAATATTGTAACCAACTCTGCAATGCATATATCTTTTTTTTCCTTGGGTTCCCCACCCCCCCTTCATTGGACTCATGAAATTCAATTACTAAAATATGAGATAGCGTGATGGTTTCTAGAGCCACCGGGGAACATCCTGGCTAATGCAGACATATCTGGATGGAAGCCACTGTGTTTAATTGCCCTCCTTTTTGGAAAAAAAAATTCTGATATTATGCCCTTTTACGTTGGCAGCAGTTCACGTTGGCAATAAACTGCACTGATCACAGGAGGTCTCATCCTCAGCTTATGAAAAACAGTCTGATGCCAATGCTTACTAGAATTGTTATTTAAAAAACGAAAGAGCCGCACTGCTTGGCTGAAAATATAGCTGCATAATATTCCTGTACGTGTCTCCCATGCAGGGAAATTTAGCAAAAAGAGGATTTTTTCCCCCTCTCCTAATAGTATTTTGTGTTGCTTTTCTTTCTCTCATTCTTTCTTTCTTTCATGATTGTTTTGAATGCGTTCAGCTCTCCAAGAAAACAAGAGCTGCGTAATTATTATTTATGTCTTCCATTGTCTCCTTCCCGTAGCAAAATAGTCTCTGGGTCCTTTTTTCAAAACAAATGAAACACTCGGTAAAAGTTAGAAAGCAGGACGCAGGAAGAGAGAATAAACTAGTAGATTACAAACACTTTCTTCTTTAAAAACCTTTTTTTTCCAGGCTTTTAAAATTCTCCATAAAATGTGCAGTCTAAAATCTAAGACCGAAAAGGGACAGAAAGTCAGTATTAGAGAGCTTGCTCGTTTAACAACCGCCTTGCTTAGAAGTGGAAATTTTGGTCCCCGTTTTTGGTCGTTAGTAGAGGACTGGCTTTAAAAGCCCGATGGAGTGGCTGGATCTGTTGAACCAATAGATGGGAGGTTGAGTTGGTCAGCTTTCACTGAGCATCAATCAAGGCATGGATTTTGGGCTACAGCCCAGTTTTTTTTTCCTCAAGAAGGCTACCAAGAAACACAGGTAGTCCTCGACTTGCAACAGTTCATGTAGTGACCGTTCAAAGCTAGAAACAGCCCTGAAAAAAGTGACTTATGTCACCTGTTCAAAATTCAGATGCAAGAACACTCTGCATTCTATGCAACTGAATTGAAAACCCTTGATATTGCATTCATATTGCACTATACAGTAGAATTCAATAGAGTTCCTTCCCTGGGATAGAAGCTGTTTTTCAGCCTCTTTGTCCTTGTTTTTATTGCCCTGTACCGGCTTCCTGGTGGTAATAGTTCAAAAAAAGGATGAGATGGATCTTTAAGGATGTTTTGAACTTTCTTAAGGCAGGTGGGAGATATAAAACTCTTCCAAAGAGGGGAGTGGGCAATCCATGATCCTCTGGGCAATGATGTTAACTCTCTGGAGTGTCCTTATCAACAACAAAAAAAGCCCCGGACCAGAGGTGGGTTCCTACCAGTTCGCACCTATTCGGTAGAACCGGTTCGTCAAATCTACCGAACCGGTTAGAAGAGGTTCCACCAGTGGACCCGGAAAGCAGGCCACACCTACAGAAGAGGTTCCAAAAAATTTTGAAACCCACCACTGACACACACACACACACACACACACACACACACACAGACAGACAGACTGAGAGAGAGAGAGAGAGAGAGAGAGAGAAAGAAAGAAAGAAAGAAAGAAAGAAAGAAAGAAAGAAAGAAAAAGAGTAAGAGAGATGAAAGAGAAAAAGAAAAAAGGGACAGAGAGACAAAAGGAAGGAGAGAGAGAGAGAGAGAGAACACATGGCTGGCAAGCCACTCCCACCAGGTCACATGTCCAGCAAGCCACTCCCACAAAGGAAGCCACACCCACAGAGTAGGTTCCAAATTTTTTTGAAACCCACCACTGCCCCAGACTCTCTGAACCAGTATAAGAGGGAATGCCCAGCCTATTCAATTAAAGAGAAGGAAAGAAACCATTAAAATTCCATTTCCTGAAAGCTCGTGCTAAACGATTCCACTTAATTGTTGGTTTCAAAGTGGGCGGCAGAAGCCATTCTCAACCCAACCCAGTGTCTTCCCCGGCGCACGGCTTGCTTGTGGAGACCCAAATCTATGATTCTTGCAGGAACTTCTTAGCAGAACGTTGTTGGCGCTACCCATGGTCCCTGACTTGGTCCGTCGGCCATGTTGGCTCGAAGGGGAAGGGGGTAAGATAACACACCCACTGTTGTTGTTCTCCTTGTTGTATTTTTTGAGGCACCTGAGTCTTTGTAAGCTTCTCCAAACAGAGGAGAGCTCTCAAAAAAACCACCCAACTCTGGCGGTCCTCGAGGATGACCTTACTGGACAGGCCAAGTATCGGAAGCTGTAAGTACTCAGTATGTGACCCCCTGTTGTGTTTTGTGCGCAGAAAAACTCTCAAAGCCAATCTTGCGGCCTTCGGAGTCCCTTGTGCCTGAGAACACACGTTTCACGCTGAATTGTAGCACCTCCAATAGTTCCACGGTGAGCGTCACCTGGTCCAAGGACACTAAACCTTTCCCAACAAATGTAGAATTTGACCATGGAAAACGAATCCTCACGCTGCGGAATTTCCAACAATCGGACGCAGGGAAATATACTTGTACAGCCCAGAATCTTTTCAGCGCTGCCACGAGCAACCCCAGCATACTTACACTGGCATGTGAGTAATCTTCCTTTTGACAGGGCTTCCCTCCCTGCTTCATGGTGAAGATATGGCTGCTAGAGTTTTCTTTCCCATCTCCAAAATGAAAAATAAGGGGATTCTTAGTTGACAAGAGGTGAGCCCTCTTCCTCCAAACCTTCTGGGAAGACAGCTGAAGAAGACCTCGCAAGGAAGGACCTCTGCAAAGACCCGAGGGAACCTTCTCAGATGCGGAGATGGAACCCCAGCACCAAAATTCGTGTTGGAATCATGATAAGCCCCATTCCTGACCGCCCCCAAACGGTGCCCTAAAAATCTTGCTGATTTGTGGGGTGGGGTACGTTCCTACCTGCTTACCAGCTGGGCCTTCTTCTCTTCCACCCCTTTGCCCTGATTCTACCTCCTTTCCTTTCTAGACGGACCCAGGTCTGCTCAGTTGAACCAGTCAGGAATCATAGTTCAACCGTTGGGTTCCGAATTGGTTCTCCAGTGTTCTGCGGAATCCGTGCCTCCGGCCACGTTTGAGTGGTTCTTCAATAACACGGTCAAGAATGGGACAGATGACACGCTCAATCTTCACTTGAAGGACTGGGGAGAAGAAGGCAATTACAGCTGCCAGGCCACGAACCCCTTCACCAAGCGTACCACTTCGGCCTCTGTCTATGTGAAATTGACAGGTGAGAAGTCCCGTTTCTTGGAATCGACCACCGTGTCCATGATCCTTTCTGGTTCCTCACAAGTTTCTGGCTCATCCGAGTTCTTCGTGGGGTCAAATGATTTGGAGCTGGGGATTATATCCCGGGTAGGATAGTATGACAAGGATAGTCATGCCAAAGGGAGGTGTGAACCCAGGTTTATATTTTCTATCGTTCCAGATTACACTGTAATTAACTGAGTAAAAAGTATCTTTATGAACAGATCTTCTGGTGTAGAGTACAGAGCTCAGCAAAGAGAATCTGTTTATAAAATGTGTTTATAGTCTGAGAATGGGGGTATACGTTTCTAATCTATATGGTCTAGATCAGTGTTCTGATCTAGGTTTCCCAAGAGCACGAAGCCAACGCCTCGTCCTGTCGCCTGGCTGGGGAATTCTGGGAGTTAAAGTCCACACCGCTTGAAGTAGCCAGGGTTGAGAGAAACTGCTCTGCATTTAAGAGCAGGTTTTAGGACTGGATTAATTTTATATTGGCATGTCATGGATTTTATATTTGATTTGATTTTCTCTTTAAACTTTCCGTCCCTTAAGTTCGGCACGTTTTAATTGCTGCCACGTATTGTAAGAGGAGAGTCAGCGTAATCTCTGGTGCTAAAAGAAATCTGGAAGAATTGGGCGTCTCCTTTTCCATCTAACCATTTTCAATGCAATAAAAGGCAGAAAGAATGCCTTTTAAAAAGGATATAGTGTTTTTTAAAACGCATTCATTGGAAACGGGTGCTACTAAACCCCTCCTGTAACGTATGTAGTAGTTCCTTTATAGCGGTGTTATTGAGGTATAATTTTTGTTCTTTACACTTCACGGTGTTGCAAATAATGTGATTTTCGTGCTCTGTAGTTCAAACCTTCCCAGTTGAAAAAGGCATTTAAGAGACAAGCAAACAGCAAATATATATAGATAGATAGATAGATAGATAGATAGATAGATAGATAGATAGATAGATAGATAGATAGATA